TAAAAATTCGCTTACTCAACTTATCAATTTCACCTCTATTCTCATACATCCTGAAATTTCTTTTGCTCAAACTCAACATTCTGACTTCCTTTGTCTTATAATCTGATCATCGATATACACATTCTCAAACTCTTCTTATCAATCCTCAGCTTTACTCAAATATACAAATCCTTATTTCCTTTACTATATCACATTATCATGTTCCAAATATATAACTTTATCCAAATCCATTTCATATTTGGTTATCATATCCTGACAATATCTTATAATTCCAGTACATTTTTATCATGTACTCTGGTTAGCCAACGCTAACTCTTTTCGTCTTAACTGCAAACCCATATCAAGTAAACACTCTTGCTTATACACAATGTTATCCCTTCGTTTCGAACTCATAAGCTCTGACTTTATACATTTTATACGCTTGTCATTGATACACTCATCTTTGAACTCTTCTACCAATTCTCACTGCATCATTTGATCTTTTAACGCTCTTATGGTGACATTTGTTCACCATATTCTATCTTATCCATGAAATAATAAAACTACTCCATATCGCTTTTCCGATTCAAAACTGTGAAAAACTTTCTATCATTATTCAGATATGATTTCAACTTTCTGAAATCAACCTTTAATCTTATAAGACACTTTCTGAGGTTTCTGCTCTTCATCCTGCCTGGCCAGGGCAGGTGAATTGCTATCACCATCAAATTTGTCAACTATTGAATCACTTCGATAATTTCTATAATAAATTTCTACTATATCCTACAAATCTTATTCTATTAGTAAGACAACATACTCATTACACTATCATATCAGAAATTTTCACTTTTAGTTGGCATGTACACATTTTTAAACCTCATTTGACTTCAGTTTAAGCCTAGAATCGGCTAAACCATAGCTCTGATACCATTAAATATAACACCCTCAACCCGTATCCGACCCGAATACGAGTCTGAGGTGTCACATTGATTTTTCAAACTTTGACTCTTGACAAAATTCAAAGAAAATTCAAAACTTTCATTAAAATAAAAGTTGTTTATTTATATAAATTTACCAAAATAACCAAAAATTGATCAGAGCCTATACAACTCACTCAATTAGTACATGCCAACTATATTCAAATTAACCATACACATTTAAATTATCTATTTTTTGATATGAAACTTTGTAAGGAAAATGCTGACCTGTCTTGCTCCTCTTAGCTCTTTACTCTTCTCACTTCTGTAACCTACGTGTGAAACAATCACACGCTAATTCGTTGACTTAGTGAGGCATAAAACATATAATAAACTCTAACTCGTAATCATGCTTGAACAGTTTCTATTAACATATCTCATACAAGCATCACACCCACATATACATATAATAATTCCTACTATGCACCTTTCATATATTCATATATATATATATATATATATAATCCACGCATACATATAATTATCTTCTTTCCTATCATTATCATATTATCACCTTTCATTTTTCTATTCTCTTGTTTATATGATCAATTAAGCTCATATCATATATCTTATATCATATACAATAATCACTAACACACATATATCATATCATATAATTCATAACACAAAACACATATATACATCACATACATTACATTCAATGTTATCTCTTGTTAGCCCATGTGCACCTGTGAGAACTGTAGATATGTGAGTCTATTGAGGTTGTGCACCACTATGCTGTCACCACAGCTCATATAAATGTCTCGAAGGACCTATCCAGAGGTTACAAAGACCCCGATAACTATCCAGAGGTCATAAAGAACCTCGGAAACTGTCCATAGGTCCCAAAGAACCTAGGTAAACTGTCCATATATTCCTTAGAACATAGGTATACTGTCCATATGTCTCGAAAGACATAGGTAAAATTGTCCATATATTCCGTAGAACATAGGTAAACCATCGATTCTTGGCATGCCAACTATACCCCTAGCTCTCATATCACATAACATGGGCATTATTATCTATAACATTTCATATCACTTGTTCTTTCTTTTCTATCACATACCACATGTATGTGTAACCATATATTTCACATCATATCACATGTATCACATATTGCATATTCATGTAATCATATAGATCATGTCATATAGCTTATATCATTTCTCATATTCCTATATATATATAGTTCACTTTCACATATTACAATTTCCTTTTCTCATATTTTTCATATCATGTTTCTTATAACCACGTATGTTTGTCTTATCTCATATCCTATAATTCTTTAGTTTATATCTTATATCACATGTTACACCTATGACTATATTCATGCATAAATAATAATCATATCACCCATATTAACATTCATAAAATCATGTAATCAAATATTGGGAGTAGACTCATCGCGAGTCTTTTCCCCACACATCATATACTAATGCATATGCACTCACCTTGGCCTCACTAAGTTCGATCCACTTTTATGATTTCTTTTTCTTTCGATCGAATCTTAACTTGATAATCGTTCCGGAACTTGTTGATGTTCGATATCTACATAATCATACATTGATACATATCAATATCCAATTAATATATTCTAAACTATCACTCCAAAGGATAAAAAGAAAGCTATTTTCAACTTTTAATAGAAGCATACATCGATGCACTATCCCATGTATCGATGCATCCCTAGACGGGTGCATCGATGCATTATCTATGCATCAGTGCATAAATCTCATTCGATGTTTGTATTTTAGGGGATTCATCGATGCACTCCTTATGTATCGATGCACCAATCGCATTCGATGTTTCCATTTTAATGGGTGCATCGATGCACTTCCTGTGCATCGATACACACTGAACAATTTCTAGAGATTTACCCTTGATGCATCGGTGCACCTTGAATGTGCATCGATGCACATAGCTCAGAATTCAATTTTAATCCTGAAAATCTACTCAAATCAACTCAAATGCTTCATCTTTCATCCCCTATCATGTTCTCAACTCACATACACATATTCAAACTCATTTATATTCATTAATCACCTTCTTAACATCAAAATCCTATTCTCCATATGTAATTAAAGAATTACACTAAATTTTCAACATGTTCCAAAATCAATTCTATTGCTTCTAACTTCTTAATTAAGCCCTTGGCAAGTCAAATTCATCATTGGAACTTCAAAAACCTTTTTATAATAAAAGTTCATTAATAAACCCTTAATAGAAATTCCTTTCTAATTCTCTCTCTTTGGTGTTTTAAACTTATATAAGCTTTCCTTAAGCTTATATAACCCCCAAAGACTCAAATACAACTTAAAACTTTCAAGAAATCAACAGCTAAATCAAACTTACCTTTGCTCTTGGCTTCCACGTGAAGAAGAAGAAGAAGAAAGGAGAATAGAACTCTAGAGAATTCTCTCCCTTTCCACGTGTATTTATCCTTACCAATCCCATTTTTAATTTATTTCTTGGTCAATTGACCCTTTTACCCTTTATTTCCTTTAATAATTACTAAATAACCTTCATCATATATATCCAATAATCATTGAACTATTTCATTCTTCTACTTTAGTCACCAAATTCTGAAATTTTACAATTTGGTCACTAACCCGGTATTGCGGATGTTACAATGGGAGTCATCACTGTTCTTGACTACTTCTATGAAATTTCAGGCCTCAAGCTTAATGTTGCAAAATGTGAAATATTTACTGCTAGAATTTCAGCTTACTCTCTTGACACTATTATTAATTCTTCTGGTTTTAAGCTTGGAAAACTACTAGTCAGATATTTGGGGATACCTCTGGTCACAAGGAAACTTTCGATCAAAGACTGCCATCCTCTCTTAGACAAGATCAAGGTCAAACTCCATCAATGGTCCAGGAAAAAGGTAAGTTACGCTGGCAGATTGAAGTTGATCAAAACGGTTCTTTTTAGTGTGGCAAACTTCTGGTGTAGGCAACTTGTCTTGCCACAATCTGTTATTAACAAAATCGAACAAATTTGTTCGAGATATTTTTGGAAAGGTTCTGACGTTTCAGTAGTAGGAGTTAGAGTTAGTTGGGGTAAAATTTGCACCCCAAAGTTGAAAGGCGAACTTGGTCTTAAGGACATCAAGTCATGGAACAAATCTTGCATGCTTCTACTCATCAAGAAATTACTTGCAGGGGAGGGTTCCCTTTGGGTTGCTTGGATCCTCAACTATCTCATTAAGGATCATGATTTCTGGCACATGGAAGAACTGAAGAACTCAAGCTGGATCCTAAGGAAAATCATGAAACTCCGAGCAGTTGCTCGACCTATTCTTGCATCCGGAACTGTGACTACCAAACTGATTTGGGAAGAGGTTCAATAGAAAAACGGTAAAGTCCCATGACATAAACTAATTTGGTTTTCATTGCACATTCCCAAGTTTAGCTTAATATCTTGGATGGTTATCTTGGATCGTCTCCCTACAAAGGATAGGCTACTAAGGTTTGGAATTAAAACTAATGATAAGTGCATCCTCTGTTCCAAAGCAAGGGAAACCAAAAACCATCTCTTTGTTGATTGTAAAACAACTACTTCAATCTGGAATTCTATTCTTTAGCTCACATGTATTCATAAACCTCTTCTTACCTGGACTAATCTGCTTACTTGGGCATATAACACATGGAAAGGCAAGTCCTTGCTTACTAGTATATTGAAGCTTTCTTGGTGCACTCAAAATTATACAATATGGGAAGAAAGGAACCGAAGACTTTTTCAAGGAACCTACAGATCCAAAGACGATATTCTGGCCTCAATCAAAAAGAATGTAGGAATTCAACTTAGTAATAGGGTTGTCAATAGATTGGATATTACTAATCTTTCTCTTTGTAATTCCTATGGTATAGTATGATTTTTTGTGTATCTTGTCACCCTTTTTTTATGCTTGTTCGTTTGTATTGGATTTGAAGCAGTTACTGCTTTCATTGGGTAATAATAATCTAATTATCCAAAAAATATATATCATCACCATTGGCAACAAAAAAGAAAACAAGTGCCTACCTCTTGTGCGATGAGGCAGCAGCCGCAACACTGCGCTAGAAACACCTGAATGCAACTATGCTAGTCTCTACGCATCAACACATCCTATGTTAAAACTGCTAGTAACGACCAATGAAAAAAATTGAACATACCCTAAAGCTAAAATAAATAAACGACAATATTAGAAAATCATAAAACATGTAATGTAACTAGACGCAACACCATTTCAATTATGTTAAAGGACTGCCGCCACCACCACCTTATACAGCTGCCTGCATTGGCCCATTAGATCTAAACCCTCGGCCCCTTCCTCGATATCCTCTGCCACGGCCACGTCCTTCACAAAAGCAAATCAACAGGACAATTAGAAGCAATAGTCTTTCTTATACGTCCGTACAGCAATAAAGAAAAAATATCTTCCTTTCTTATTAAAACTATTGGCACAAGGTTTGTTTATTCTAATTGAAAGAAATCAACCGATCTTTTAATTGCGAGAAAACTATATATTAAACATGCTAAAACTCCGATAAATAAATAAATAAAACATTGTGAAAAAACTCACCACGGCCACCTTGGGGAGGGGCTTCACAGTTGTAGCCTCCATCTTCCAGCCTCTCAACCTGAGGTCCATTGTATCCTCCACGTCCACGACCGCCTTGGGGAGGGGCTTCCTGATTGAAGCCTCCATCTTCCAGCCTATCAACCTGAAGTCCATTGTATCCTCCACGTCCACGACCTCGGGAACCACGGCCTCTTCCTCGACCTCTACCCCTAGCATAGCCAGGATTGCGATCCCAGCCTCCATCCTCATACTCAGCAGAGACAAAAGCATTCCCTGAAGAAGAAAGCAACTAAATATTGGTCAAAGAAATCCTCATATAGCATTCTATAAACTTCAGAGGTGTGGTTAATCATGCACTAATACAACAAAAGCATCATCTAACAGGGGTATCTCAGTATTTGAAATTGGCATACCTCTACCCCTCGGCCTCCCTCTACCACCACGGACCCTACCTCGACCATTGGGTGAACCCTCTGCCAAATAAAAAGTAATCTACAAAAGGAAATATAGTCTTCAGAGACAAACAGCACATGTAATGAAATGTGTCCCTACCTCCTTCAGGATCAATTTTTATGGATGCCTTCACCTGATCAGGTGGTAATGGAGGCTGATACCTGGATGAGGGAGCAGTTCATGAGTTCCAAAAATCTTTGATAATTCATTTAAACCATCAACCCACCACCATAACAAGAACCTAAAGCCATAAACCCTTTCTGTATGCTAAAATTTTCTAGCCCCCAACATTCATAAAAGTGAAAGTAAACAAGATTATTTGTAATGAACTATAGTCAACTAGTTTCATATTAACTAAAAAAGGAACACAAATGACGCTTAATATTTAAAATTCACTACAACTGAAGGCACCAAGCATAGTAAAGTACAACGCAGTAAAGGGAAATAAATGTAGGAACTTACCCGACAGACGATGTATTCAATTCAATCTTCGAAAGGGTTATAGTGATCATGGACACATGCCTAGTGGTCTCCAATCTGTGATAATTCAACAATGTTTACTAGAGTTCTCTAATTAAAGCAAATTAAAGGGCAGAGAAAATAATAGCTATTTGTTGTTATAAGGGTCAAATATAGCTCTTACGGAAGAAGTCCTTCTTCAAGAGGCTCCCACGTATCTGTTATATCCGTGGATCCAATAGATGTAATCTGATGAAGACCGACAATTCTTCTCTGCATAGCAAGTTGATGAAGCACATTGTCAGCTTCCTTAAGCAAGAATAAAATTCACACACTCAGGCAACTTCATATATACAGAATTACCTTAATTAACTCCGCAATAGTTACAGTCTTGTTAATGGCTCTTCCCATTGCCTTGAAGACTATTTGATTCGAGCCCTTTTCCTACCCGACATAACATTCAAAGAGAAGAAAAAAAATGCACAAACATCAGATTAACGAAGAAAGCTACGAACACTTAGCAAATAACAGTTCTGGTGCATATCTTTAAAAGGAAAGCGAACATCCAAATCATATAAAGATCTAAATACGCAGAAAATAAACAAGAAGAAGAAGAAGAAGAAAAAAAACCTGAAGCAAAGACATGGCATAAGTGATATAATTGCGCATCCTGCCTTGACTGGTAATACGAATCTCGTTCTCATCAATAGGTGTCTCTGCCTTCGGCTTCTCCACTCTCTGGTAACGATCCATCTTTTCTCCGCCAAGAAATCAATATTTGAACAGTTCCATGTAGCCAAAAAAATAAATTTAAAATTACAGAATAGGAAAAAAAGAGTGGGATTAGATCTGAAAAATACCTTTAATGGTATGATAATGGAATCGTAAAGGATAAATTGGGGGGTAAGCTCCACCAAGAGAGAGCCCTCTTCTACGGCTTATTTTTCTTCTTTTACGCACTAAAGCCGCTCTCTTCAGATGTCTCTTGCTTATTTATATTCTCTACGCAACAGCAACTGCCCTAACCGACTCCTTTAATCCGGTTCAGCCCGGTTCTATTCCCTTGAACCATATTCTTCTTCTTTTTTTTGTCAAACACGGAAATCCCAAGACACCCGTTTGGATTCAAATGGACCTTTGTTTTAAGTTTGATACAATTAAATTCCATGTTAGAGTCCAATTATATTTTCTGCTTGGACTATGTCACAGTTTCGGAGGGCAATTGGACCCTTAAAAAAGGTCAGGTCCCATTGTTTTAATCGGATTGGTTTACCCTTTTGTTTGTTTTCTAATTTTCATCTTCTTTTAAACGATAAATGGGTTTATAATTACGTTAAAATAATAACATTTATTTTAATTTTAAAAATATATTGATTAAATTGAATTATTTTTAAAAAATAAAAATGGAACTTTAGAGAGAATAATTTACTAAGATTAAAACGCTTCAACCCAATTGCACCTTGTAGGATGTCTTTAGAATTGGGGTTATGGTATTGAAATGAAACAATCCCTCAGCTAATAACCAATCATATAAGGGATTAAGTTTATTCGTTTGATATTTTAAAGATTAATATTAAAAAAATTAACTTATAAAGAGTGATTATCTTCGCATGGGACCAGTTTTGAGCAATTAGAAAAAGTTTGGCACCCTGGTTTGTGACATCTGGGAACAAGCTCTGAATAATTTATCATTGTTCCATAGGACATCATTAAAGATAATAAAGTTAGAGCAGTACTTGCATTTGCTGTCCTTTCTTTTTGGCAGTTGAAAAACTATTCCTCATCCCAAACTTAAACAGGGACAGGATATGTTGGCTACTACCCTTAAAAGTGACCTTTTATTGGTGTAAGGGCCGAGGCCACCCCAAACAAGAAGTCAATGACTCGTTCACAGCTCCACGACTATAACACTCAGTAGCTGATCTGAATCCTCGTCAGCAACTAAGACCGAACCTTGTTGTAATCAAACACAAACCAAAATTTGATTCTTAGGTAGGGTTTAGGATCAAATGATTGATTGGAAGAAATATCGGAGGCGACATTATTTTGTTATATCATTTTCGTAGATGCAATGATTTTGCAATACGGTCAATATCCACAATATAAAAAAAAATATCCATTTTAAAATTAACCAGTTAGGTGATATGATCCCATTAAATCAAGGGTCCCATTCTCCACAATCAAACGCTAAAAAAGGAACTATTTATCAGCAGTATTTGTATAATTGAATGGGGCATTGCCGAATCTCACTACCTATCATTTTTCTCTTTTTTTTATCGAAGTCTGTGAGACAACTGTCACCAGCCGCAGCAGTGATCAGGTGCTTTCTGGCCAATCGGGCTTAGTTTTCTCACGAACCATCACAGCCCCGTGAGACGATTTTACCAAACGTGTGTAGATGTTCTTGAATCGAATTGTTTATGTATATATATATATGGCTTAGTGTTCGACATGGAAACTTGAAAATTAAAGGAAATAAAAACATTGGCTAGTGCTGTCGTTCCGGTACGTTTTTGGCTTGTTTGCCACGAAACGCGTCATCTCTAAAGCGACCGACGATTCCTGGTTTATACCTTTACCAAATATGGGCGTTACCACCTCAATATCTCTCTCACTCAAAAGCCTTCCCCCGCACTTGACCCTTCCCAAGAAGGGATCCCCCACACCCCTAAACTTCACTTTTTTTTTGTAAGCCAGCTAACTATTATGCGCCATGGAGCGCACTACCCGCCTCCGCCTCTCCTTACTCCTTCTTCATCTCCCACCCTAAACGCCGCCGTCTCAGGCGGCGGCCACGAGCATCCAATGCTGGTTTCCGTTTTCCTAGCCCTTTTTCTTCCATGTGCTGGCATGAGTGCGGTTTTCATTGTTTATATTTGCCTTTTATGGTATGCCTCCAATTATCGGACTGATAATAATTCGGGGTCGTCCACGGCGATTAAGCAGGTGGGTGAGAAAGGGCTTTCTGTTTCAGAGCTGGAAAAGCTGCCCAAGGTTACCGGGAAGGAGCTCGTGTTGGGGACCGACTGTGCAGTTTGTCTGGATGAGGTCGAGGCCGAGCAGCCGGCTAGAATGGTTCCCGGTTGTAATCACGGGTTTCATTTGGAATGCGCTGATACATGGCTTTCTAAGCGTCCGGTTTGTCCTGTTTGTAGAGCCAAGCTTGAGCCCAAGTTGTTCGATTGTCCTTCTCGTGATGATCCCTGATAAGCTTTAAGCCCTTTACTTCTATAGCAAAAAAAAGGGGTCTTCTCTTAAGTTCAGTGTTTGCTGTTCGTATGAAGGTTTTTTCTTGGGGAAGAAGAGAATAAAGGTGTCACCTAAGTTATGTTATATATTTCATATCAGCATGCATGTATAAATTTTCTCTTTTCCAGTGATATTTTGATCTTGATTAAAATAATTCCTCTTGATATTTACTCGATGTGGGTTGTTTATTTATGTGTAATAGTCCTCCTTTGTTTGAATAGCTAGCTTTCTTTTTTGCTTTTTTTAGCGTGGAAGATGAGGATTCATTGATTCATAGGAAAAGCAACAACAACAACAAAAAATGATACAGAATAACTAAAAGTAAACACATGAATATCACGGGCGCCATTGTCATATGGGCATGCAATGTCACCACAGCCAACTACTACAACTATTAATCCTGTCAAAAACCAGAGCTTCTAGGAACCATTTACTTTAATTAAGTATATTTTAACCTCGTTAATCACCCATTCGATCTCAATTAGATTGCTCTAAAAAAAAGAAAGGCAAATGGCAAGGCCAGCCTGCAACAATCTGCAGGTTTTGTACCACCTAGGCATGGGGATCAAACAGCATTACTGATTTTTCCTATTTTCATGCTTAGAATATACATTGTAATCAAGTGTAGATCTCGTTGAGTTTTGTGTCTCGCGATACGTGCCAGCTGTCTATTTATGGATGGCCGGGGTTGGTGGTTTTATGTCATCTTGCCTATTAAATGAACCAATGCAACAAATTTAACTTAAATCACTATACAGTATTTATTAGGCAATTTGATTGCCAACCACCACTCTGCTCCAATTATATTCCATGGTTTACACTTGCGCACCACCAAACCTAGCATAATTAGAATTCAGTAAGATTTGGAAGTAATAAGCAATTTCTTGGACTTTGCTATTTTTGTTTATGCTCTTACAAATAATCAATGAGCATGAAAGAAAATGTTAACCAAAATTATTATAAATATTTGATATATTGATTATATTATAAATATTTTATGAAATAAATTTTTATATAATAATATTTTTTATTGGAAAAAAAATATTAATTACAGAATACTATAATAAGTCTTGTCTATAAAACTTTTGTTGAAAATATCATCTTTATCACTAAGAATCTCAAATATAAAATGTTAGTAATTCTCATAAAACACTAGTTATTTTAGAAATGTGCTTGAACATTGCCTGCTATTATAATAAAGCATCTAAGTTTTGAAATAATTTATAATTTTCAATTAAAATAAATTTTAAATTAAAAGTTTCATATTATTTTTCATGATATTTACTAATAAAATAAAGGAATGTGATCTAATTATATAATGTTGATTTTTTTTAAAATTTTACACATATTTAATATCGTTTTATGAATGAAAATGGAAAGTTGAAAATAACATTAGGAAATAATAAGATATTTACTAAAAAAATTAAGGAGTTAATATCAACATTTTATTTTTACTCATCTAACCATCCTAGATATAGTCAACAATCCCTAGTGCAATTGGTTAAAAGCTCTCAAATCTGTGTAAAATTAACAAAAAATTATATTGTTTAAGTGTATTATAACCCTAAAATAAAACTACTATTTTATTCTAATATGTATTTAAGACGTACATGTGTGATAAATACTTATCTAAAACGTACATAAGAGTGACACTAAATTTATTTATACAATTAATTTAATGACTAAATATTTAAACAATATCATTAAAATTATATACATTAAATATATATTTTTCTATAATTATCAACATATTCAATAAATGCATATAGGTATTTAAATAAACAATAAATATTTACATAAATGATAAAATAAAATGTTATATATATTTTTATTAATAAGAATACAATTTGAAATAAATTTAAATAGATTCATAAATATAAAACAGAAAATATTCATTAATTATAAATTTTAGTCTGTTATTTTTAAGGAGTAAATTACATAAATCATCAATGAACTTTTTTCTTTCTCTTATTTGACTCACTGAACTTTAGAACTTTTCAATTTTAGTCTAAATTTAATTTTTTTCTTCCATGGATTCAAAATGATGTCGTTTGAGTGTAAGTTTTCATGTCATAACGCTGTTAATTATTTAACGGAGGAGTAACAAAAAAATTCAATATTTAAAGTTCAGTGCATAAATTTAAAATTTATTGGTGTAATATTTAATTTCACTGCTACTGTAATTAATTTTATCGTTACTGTTGTTTATATTCTCATTAAAATTAATCTCATCGTTCATTTAAATACATTCTAAAAACACAGATCTAGTAACATATGAGTTGGACCAAATTAAATTTATAACAATAATCTTTATTGTTCTTAATTTCCTTTACTTTATTTTGTTGTTCTTAATTTTCCCTTTACTATATTTAGTGTAAAAAATAAAGGAGAAATTGAATTTTATTATTATTTTAACATATAGTTAATTTCATTAAGAATAGGTTCAATGAATAATAGTAGATTCAAATTATGAAAGCAATGAAAGACTTTTTCAATGAAAGTGTACGATTATTTTTAGAATTTATTTATTTAATATATTTACAATTTATAATTTATAATATTTTTCAATTTTATATTTTATATCTTTTGCTTATTTCTTTTTAGAATTATTACAGTAGTTTATTTTTAATAATCTTTTAAGTTAAAAAATGTTTTAAAAATTATATGAAATAAACCTTCAAACATTTAATTAAAATTATTGATTTAAATATAGGACAAGACAAAATAAAC